TTGGTTCCCAAAGTGAATTTGGTCAGAGATTAGATTTTGCCCATGAAGGTGTCAGGAATTTTCCAGGGATTTGATTCTCTTTCCACAAAATACATAAATAAAAATGGTTTTTGTTAACTACTTGGTTTGCAGCTTAATGCAAGAAAAAAAAATACTTCTCTTTTGGTTTATTTCAAATGCATAGTTTTAAAAAAAATACTTCAGGTCAAAAACCACTGCAGATTTTTAACACTTGAATTTAAAAACTTCATGCATTTCTATATCTTTGATTTCTCATCGGAGCAGGGAGAAATTCTTTCCCAGTTAACTTTGTTTTTTAACTTTTAGAGTGCATTAGCAAGCCTCAAGCATATAACATTATGAAGAATACTATATTGTTTTCCTCCTGTCAGCGCTACTTCATACCGATGAAGCAGTATTTCTTCTCAACTGCAAGCTGCTTAAAGCTAAGGTTATCTGTGAACACTGAATTGTTCACAAAGTGCTCAGTGCTATTCAAAACAGACAAGTCGGAGTCAAAAGCCAAGAGCTTTACTCCACAGAAAGGTTAAGTTTGTTACATAAACACTGCATTTCCCTTACTATTTTTCACTTTATGCATAGTAGAAGATGCAGGGATTAGGACTGTGATGGGATACTTTTTAATCTATACAACCAGCTGAGCTTTCTAATGATTTACAATAAACACTGTATATGTCTCCAACTTGAATTGTCACAGGTAATGATATTAATGGCAGTAATGAGATGCCTGAAGTAAAAATTCAGTTTACAGAGAGCAATGCTGTTCACATCTATTTGTGGTGGGACGTGATGCCAGTCAGGTGATGGCATGTTCAGAAGGCAGTTTTTAACATGATTCAATGAGCTGCTTAGGACCAGTTTTTTGTGACTGTTCTTATAATTTAAAGTCCTTCCTTAAAAATGAAGTCTCTTCAATGTAATGAGTTTGTACCAAGGTTGGACTTCATTATTGTTGAGGCAAAACTGTAACCTCTTTGGGGATAGGTTAGTGTCTGAGATACGAACACATCGTGCTGTATGTGGTGCTTCTGATATAAAACTTAACTGTGGTATGAGTAACCAACAGTAAAGGCATTTGGTTTTGAGCCAGTCTAATCTATAGGAAACAAGTCCAGGAAGTGAAATAAGGACCCATGAAGCCCTCAAAGTAAAATGCCGCCCATCTAACTTGCTTCTTCCCCATCTCCAGCAACTGGCTAGGTACAGGGAAGCACCAGAAAAAGCCATCTGTTGGTCCATGCTTGGGCTGCCTCTTCAGTGTTTTATGCTTGGATTGGTTGCTGATATTCCAGGATCTCCTCATCACGAGGACAACTGCATCACCCACATCTTTCATATCCCTGGTAGATGCCTTAACAGTCAAGAAACCCTATGTGCTGGTATCGCTTAAAGCAGCATCTCTGGTATTGTGCAGTCATAGGCAAAAGTCTGAAGATGGGACAGAAAGCAAGCCAGATAACTAGTCTAATTAGTGTGATGAATTCCCTCTCTTCCTAAGCCTATGGCTTCAGGGAGCAGCCCATCCTGTTGTGATGACTAGTGCTGAGAAGCAGTAGGATGGGCTTCAGGGCTTTTGGTGGTTTCAGCTTCCTCTGCTCCTTGCTTCGTGCCAGCTGCTGCAGCTGCACCTCTTCAGAGCAGCTGTATCTTCCACTGCCATTTGAAACGGAGGGGGAAAACGGGTGGACTTGGTGTATGATGGGGGCATGGGGAAGAAGCATGAGAACTGCTGCTCCCATTATACACTAGGTTTTCATGCACATAAATGACTTATTTTTTTCCCTTGACTACTGTAGCAAATGCTCTAGTTTTGTTAGTAAAACAAAAACAACCTTTTTATTGCTTTTTATATTTGGAAAGTGATGTATTATGGGTTTCTGAACTGGAGGTTTAGTAAAGAGTACAGACATTAGCTTCCTTTCAAGCTACTCTGGGCCTTTCTTGTTTGCTTTGTATGGCAAGGGTCTAGAGAGATTTCTTTTATTTCCTTCCCTGCCATTGTTTTCAGTACAAAGTTTTTTTTCTTAATATTCAGACATTTTATCGCCTCGCTTCTTTTAAAACTGAGTTTCTTTTTTTTCTTTTTTCCATCACACAAAAGAATACTTTTAGCTGATTGAGTTCTATCCATTGCCAACTGTGGACTCTTTTGTCTTGTTAGTCCAGCATCCTTTATAAAATGAGGACCATTGAGCAAGTACTCGCAGGCTCCCCACTGAGCACAATTGTGCTTGAAAGGTGTGGTACAGTACCAGTGTAACATGTAAAGCTGCAGTTTAGAGGGCTTGAATGCATTGCAATTTCTACCTTTTGCTTTGTGAAAGAAGTGGGATTGTGCTGTGAGATAATAAATCCACCTATTTTTAGTTCAGCGCGGTTGTGACAAGTGGGTGAACAAAGAACCAGTTGAATGCACTTGCTGTTGTGTTGAAACCGGCTAAAAGTTCCCATTCAAGTGGTTTCAGCACAGTACAGCTAACAGGCAATTTTCCATTTATGTACACAAACCTTCTAGAAAGACAGCTGTGTCGTTGGATTAATTTCTAGCAGTAAATTGAATAAAAGATATTTTGAAGGGGGACTCGGGAATTCCTTTCTAAAACATTGAAAGCAGAACTTACAAAACTTTCCTTTATTTGATCCCTTTCCTTCGCAGTACCTACTATAAGATTTAAAGAACTGAAAATATTGTCCCCTATATGGAGATACACAACAGGAAATGTGTTCTTTTTCAAAGCAGTGAGATAGAATTAGGATTAAAATATCCTTTAGCACTTTCTAATTCAAAAATATACTGTTTTGCTTTTAAGTAAATATGAGAGAAATTCACACCTCTTAGTCATAAAAAGGAGCTCAAATGTTTGTACGTGAATAAGCTGTAAATGAGCTATATAGAAATGTTTTGAAAACAGGAATGTATTTTGTATCCAAACTGTTTTCATAGGGGAGTGAAATTTGGAAATAGAAAACTTATCGATCCTACAATGTTATCAGTTTTGTTGATGCTAGTCACCTGCAAAATTGGATGTGGGTTTTAACCATGGCCAGCAAAGACTTTGGTGAATTCTTCCTGACAGAACTATGATCAACAGTCATGTTTTTTCTGAAGGTTGATCTTTGGATGCAAGTCTTGGAGTTGCGTAAATCAGCTCCTAAATGAGGTCTTGTTTGTGTCTGTCCAAGCAAACTAGATTATCTGTTATAGATCCTTCTGGCCTGAAAGCTATGACTTGTTAACTAATCATCCAATGTATATTATCAGACATGAAAGTTGTTTGAGCAAGAGAAGAGCTGTGTGCAATACAGGCATAACAAACCTCTGATCAGTAGTGAAGAGTGTCGCGCTGAAGTGTTTTCATGTGGTGCAGGCTTGGGGAATACTGCTGAAGTGTCTCACTTACGGAGGTACCAACGATGGTGAACCACCACCCCATACCAGTACTGCTGTTCACTCCTCAGCCTAGTTGTGCTGTGATTGAACTCCAAAACTCAAGTGTTTTGCTTTTTACCTTTACGCGAGCTTTCCCTCAAACTTTCTATGTAGATTTGATGTAGGGATATCCAAGGAACTGTATGAACTTGCAGAGTGGCAGTGGGCTTGTCTGGAAGATGTTCCATATGTAGTATCGACCCTAAGGGGTCAGGCAAATCAATTGACCTCAGTGAGGTTTCCTCATTCTTCTCTCCTTCATCTAATTGTATATAAGCAAGGCTGACTAATTCAGATTTCTTCTGAATTTGTGAAGTTTTGTTTAAAAATCACCCAAAGATAGTGGTAAGCCTCTCATGTGGCTGCTGACGTGCAGTGATGAAGTAGAAAGATTATCCAGTGCTCTGGAAGAGGATGAGGAATGTAGTTTACTGGGAATGTTGCAATGTTCCTATTTCATCTGAATATGTCAATAAATCTAAAATACTTAAGAAATGACAAATTGGGGGAGGAAGCTGAAAATGGGTGTGAAAGTTGGTCTTGTTCCCTGTGGATCTACTTGTAATAAAATAATTGCCATGTGTATGTGAGACTGGAGTCACTTAACCAGTAAGATACTGAAAGCCATCACAACTTCATTCTCCTGGCTCTTACCACCTCTGAGAGGAGCCCTGACTATTTCACCCTCCTCTCACTGTGTGCTTGTATGAGGCAGAATTTAGAAGTTTCTCACTTATTAAAAATCTAACTTCTGCTCTCTATATAGCCTGGTTTTCCTTAGGTGCTGGGTTTGGATTCTAGTCACGGATCCCTTACAGTGACATGAGGAGCTTAGGCATTTTTTTCCTTTATCTGAGGGACAGAAGTAGCACAGCTACTGAGGTTTTCTTTTCTTTTTTTTCTTTTCCTTCGTCTAAATAAGGATGAGTGCCCCTCTGTTTTTAATATACTCTTCATAAACTGAATTCTCAAATTCCTGAACTCTTGTCCAAATGGTACACAAATGCAAGACAAACTGAGCTGACTCTGGACTAAGACTATTCCAGTAAAAGCTTGGTTTTCTCCTGTTTTGAGGTTACCCAAATGTGCCACTTGCTTTGCAGACTCTTGCTGTCTCTGAGGTGAGGCCCAAGGGCTCGTTGTCTGCACACTTGGGAACTTCGAGAAATTAATTGTTGACTGGGCTGCAGTGAAGCTGTCTGACCTAAGTGCTGATGTTACCAAATGCTATGCTCTGGATTTGCCAGAAAGCTAATACGTCAAACTGGGCTTCTGTTGTTCCTCATTTAGTTGACTAAAGCTAGGTTTTTGAATCTTTATGCATAAAGAAGGGGACTGGTAGTTTTTCTCACTAATGGGAATCTACATAGGCAAAATATCTGTGCAAAACCAGATTGCATAGTAATATTGCTCTTCCTTTTTCTTTTTTCCACATATATGGCACTCTGATTTTGAGTACATACTCTCAATCCATTTGAGAATTTAAGGAAATTATTCTCCTCCTCCTGTACAGTCATGGTTAATATATTCATGTATTTTTTAATTGCAGACTTTAAAAAATTCCAAAAGTCTTTGCTCCCTTGACTATGAAGATGATGATGATGACACACAAATGAAGACAATTGTGTCATCCCCATGTGACTCAAATGATCTTATGAACATCATCACCCCTGGTTCCAGTCCGATGAAAGAACAGTTGGATGAAGTAAGGCATCATGGGCCATGCCAAGGTAGCTTCAAAACAAGGGATTATAAGAAAGCAGCTGCAGTATGTGAAAGCGATGAAGACACAAGTGATTGTGAGAGCACCGAAGAAGGCATCTTTCCTCTAGACTGTGGAGATTTGGACCTAGAGCAGATTGAAAACAACTGAGACTCAAAGTTGTGTGCTAGAATCAGAGTTGTTCTAAATTAAAATGATAGAGGATTACCTTTGCCATGCATAATCCATGTCCCTGAATTTCTGTATTGCCTATCTTGGGCCTGTGTTAGAAGAAATGTTTCAGGTGGGGGAAAAACGTGAACCATTGTTACCTGTTTAGTCTATTGATCAATATGTGGATGACAACAAAAAAGTAGGAGGTTAAATGTTATTTTGAACATTAAGGAATAATTTTGATTAAAAATTTCCTAACAGATATTTTGCATTTTTATGGCTTTTACAGTTCTGGAGAAAAAGCATCTCTATTTTGAAATGAATTTTCAGAAGGGCATTCTATAAAACTAAATCTGTCTACAGTGATTCTGGTGCGGGTATATGTTGCTGTTGTTAAGAGCTTAATGTGAAAAGTGAATTGCATAATGAAATTGGTAATAAACTTTCAGATAGAACTCTTTAAATATCTGGTTGACAACTGGTCCAAAATACTTAACTGCCATCTTCAACAATGTCTGGTTAAAAAAACTTCATAACATGTACAAATGTTCTTTTCATACATTCAGGACTTTTTGATCAAACCATGGTAGTGACCTTAAAGGTTAACATTTTCCATGATTTTACTACTTGAATTGTTTTCTAGCCTGAAGCAATGCTAATTTAGGTGGGATAAAACTGCAAGTAGCTGCCCACCTACTTGGTCATTATGTTTTCTGTGGTTCAAAAGAATGTACAACAAGAGCACTTGAACTTTTAGACAGGGACTTTGTAATGATCAATTCCCCAGGAGGTGATCCCTTCAGCAATACTAGAAGGAAAATAGTCCTTGAATTAAATAAAATGACATTTTGCTTTGCACTTGTGTCTGCTTATGAATTTTACTAGTGGAAAATGTGTAGTCTGTGGCAGATTCTGTAATATGGTACTTAAGTGTAGAATTGGGTGGAGGGGGAGGGCAGCTTTCTGGTCATCTGAAAAAAAGTGAAGCCAAGTTAGTCTGGGGAGCTGGGGAGTAACTCATGCTGGGTCCCAGAAGTGTCTCTCAGTGATTAGATATGCTGTAATAATCTCAGAAGTAATACTGTGTTCATTGCAGACTATTGCAACAAATGCTTATTTTGTTAGTTCAGCTACAATAAGGATTTTCCTGAACAAGGGGGAAATTTAATCTCAAAATGGTTTTAAATTGGATAGAAACAGGGAAGCTTAGATTATGGCATTTCAGGGCATCATGTTAGTCTGCTTAAATGAGCCAACTCCTACTGTAACTTGTGCCATAAAACCAAAATACAGCAACATGTTTTAAGTCAGCTAATAGAATGTGATTAAAATAAGAAATAAATATCTGGAGGCATGTGACAAAGGCTGTGGCAAGGTATGACACTGGCTCCAGCCTTGTGATTAGGGTCAGCCTTTGATTGTAAAGACAATTGGCCTTTAATTACTGAACCAGCTTGCATAACTCAGCATCTATACAAAATTTTAAAAGTTTGGGTAGCCAGTAAGATGCTCTACACTTTTTTTTTTTTCTTGCTTTTATGCCTCCTACAGCATATATAAGTACAAGTGGCAATGATCTGTGATATTGATACCGGTATACATGCGTAGTAAGGTGCAAGAACACTGAAAAGACTTGTTGGGTTCTTGATATGTTAATATATATTGTGTGGGAGAAAGTGAAGCTGCTCACTGTTGACAAAAATCATTCTCCTTTTTCTAGATGAGTAAATAAAGGAGTTGCTGTTGGAGCAAAGACTTCAGTTCCTTCAGCGGCTCCTGCTAACCGTGTGCCTCTCACCCCGCAGATATCTGCTCTGGTGTAGCACAGAGCGTACAGATGGTGGCATACACATGCACAAAGCTATTTGAAATAATCGCATGCAACTGAGGATCACTGTTCATGCTACTTCCTCAAGAAATAGCTCCTTCAAGGAGTAGCAAGTGAGGGACGGCCGGTTCCCCTCGTGGGTCGATGGGGAATGCTCTACAGTGCGCTGATCAGTTGTCGCAGGTAATGGACTAACCCAGCTCTCTCCTGGACTGCAATTACTAGCTGCAGAACTACACTTGTCTTTGTGTATTCTTCTTAATTGAGCAATAGAGGTAAGTAAAATTGAATCAGCTTTAGTGCAGGATTGTAGCAAAGGCCAATAGTACAACTGGGATCGCTTAAAAGCTAATTTACCTATTTGAAAGCACTCTAGATAAAAGTGTAATGGCATGCAATGAGAAAGCTAATGTGGCAATCCATTTGGCTCTTCCTCCCCCAAGGAAGACAGGCTCCTGGAAGAATTCAAAGAAGAAAATACCTCAGAGGGCATGAATAAAAGGAGGTAAGATGTGCTTTGTCAAGGAAAAAAAAAAAACAAACAAGAACTGAAGTTATTAGTAAGACAGTGATAAAGCAAAGGCAAGAGTAGAAGACTAGATAGTATTTATTCTAGCTCTGAAATATGGGCTGGCTGTGATCTCAATGAATTGACTTCTCTAGCCTCGAAGGCGAGGTTCTCCAGTTGCCTTCTGTAGGCGCGCTGTGTTCAGTCAACACGAAGCCACGTTCCTGCCCACGCGCCGCGGGTGGGAAGGGCTTTCCCAAGCGAAGGTACGGATACGTTTCCTTATGGTAACACAGGACTCGGGCTGCTGGTAAGCCAGCTGTTCAAACTCTAAATAGCCCTTTCATGGACCCAAACAGAAAGGAGTGGTTTTAGATACTGAAGAACAAGTTTCAAAGTAGGAAGTAGTAATTATCTAGTTTAGGCTCTTATTAGTGGGTGACAGGAAAATAAGTAGTTGAACAGCTGTGCAGTAATGCTGGCAAATGAAGAAATCTGCTGAAAGGAATCTGCACTTTGTCTAACGATGCTAATGTAATCCCCCTGAGAACCACGAGCAAAAGGAATTATTGGTTAAAACTTTATTTCAGATGGGGCAGGCTTTGGCTTTGTAACTCCCCACAAGATCTGAAGTCCTACGACAGAAGAAATTTGCAGATGCTGAATTTGGCACCTTTGTTGTGGTCGATGATAGGAAAAAATCTGTAGTGGCTGCTGGGCAAATGCAGAAGATGGTTTGCAAAAAGAGAAAGCACGGTTTCAGAGACTGAAGTGTATTTGGTGGTGGGCTGAGCTAGGCTGTAAGCAGCTCTGGTCAGGGAGTGGTTTCCTTCTCTTGCACCTGGTGTCGGAAAGGAAGACCGTATTGCATGGGGTTGTGGGAGCTGCTCTAGGTCACTTATCTTTCATTTTTATTAGCAACCTGAATAACAAAGTAGTACGCACGTTAAATTTGCAGTCAACAGGAAGCTGGACAGATGTGAAAGGTAAGCTAGCATTAGAATTCAAAATAGTCTTGGCAACTTGTAGGAATGGTTGTGAGAGGGAAGAGATGGTGGGGAAAGACAAGATCCTTTTCAGCAAGGCACTAAATTTAGATAGGGTTAAACAACTGCGCAAATCGAGAGTCGGGCCAACTAGTTAGCGTTATTTCAGACAAGGGATCTGGCAGTTTGTCCTGCTGGTGGTAAAAGCAAGCTTCAGGCTAAGGTTCACAAATAGCGATATATTTGGTGAGACTGACGATAACCCTGTGCTTCAGAGGAGCACCTGTAAGTATGCAATTTGAGATGCTGCACCTAGGACTGGAGAGTCCGGTGGAGAGTGGCATGACTGATATCTTGAAAATGTGGGAGGATGCACTGAAAGAACTGAGCTTGAAGTCATATGGTAGACTGGGCTTAAATTGCAGCTAGGATGAGCGATAGTTTCTTCTAAGGCCAACTATAAAAAAATAAGGATAGGGAGTCACTGAACAGACGCCTGGGGAGATGGTAGTAGCTCTTCCGCAAATGGAGATCTGTTGAGAGCAAGCGTCTGTCAGGAGCAACGGCTACATTTCAGCTTGCTTTGGGGCAGGGGAAGAGCCTGGCTGACTTCCCACAGTCCTTTCCCGTCCCATTTTCCTTAGCATCTGTGCGACTTGCATCTCCAAGCAAGCCTAAAAGTTACATGGTAAATAACTGCTGGAGGAAGAGGAGTTGAGAATAACGTGGCAAGGAAAGCACTCTGGAACAGAGGTAGGAGCTTCCAGTGCGTGGTTCACCTGTAATCTATAGATCCTATTCAGAGTTGACATTTGCTAGAATATAGGCCCCTATGTCGTAAGCTTGGGCTAAATCGTCTTTCTGAAAAAAAAAAAAAAAAAAAAAAAAAATTTTTTTTTATCCAAGTGGTCTGGGGGGGGGGGGCCTAGTACATTTCAGCTTGCTTTGGGGCAGGGGAAGAGCCTGGCTGACTTCCCACAGTCCTTTCCCGTCCCATTTTCCTTAGCATCTGTGCGACTTGCATCTCCAAGCAAGCCTAAAAGTTACATGGTAAATAACTGCTGGAGGAAGAGGAGTTGAGAATAACGTGGCAAGGAAAGCACTCTGGAACAGAGGTAGGAGCTTCCAGTGCGTGGTTCACCTGTAATCTATAGATCCTATTCAGAGTTGACATTTGCTAGAATATAGGCCCCTATGTCGTAAGCTTGGGCTAAATCGTCTTTCAAAAAAAAAAAAAAAAAAAAAAAAAGTATTTGTCTGTATCCAAGTGGTCTGGTGGGGTGGTGCCTAGTGAATTTACATTTACTTTCAAATTACAGATAAACGTGCTGATTGTTGGTGTAAAGCTAGCCTCTGCAGAACCTCCGCAAACACACGGGTTTCCTGGAAAGTCCTCGGTGGAGGCTGGCAGATGCCAGAATAATTTTTCTCAACCTGTTCACTGAATTTATTTTGCAAAGTATGCAGCATTCGTATTTAAGAGTACCAGGGTATAGACCTGCGTGCTTGCATGGTGGGCTTTCACAGCAGGGCTCATCCTCTCGTTAGAAATCACCTGGTGCTTCTCAGAACTGGGGTGTTTCCTTCAAGGCCTTGTCCTTAAAAGAGGTGAGCTGGTGGCACGCGTTGCGTGTGCTCACCCTGCAAAGGGCCTGGTCCAGGAGCTGCAGGCAGCCGCTTCCACCACATCTCCATGTGCCTTTTCCTCAGCACTGTAAAGGCACCAGCATCAAATAGTCGGGATCTGGGACCCTGCCGCTGCGGCTTCTTATCCTTGGACGCCTTGGTGGAGCTTGTTAGTTGTTTAACGCACACAAAATACGGTTTTAGAGGAGCGTTGCTACCATATGCTTAGCAGCCCATTCTGGTGTGTTTTCAAAGTGAGTTTTGACATCAGTTGTTTTGGAGTTTGTGTGTAATTAACGTCACCCAAGTTACTGCTCCCACCGCCATCTGGTCAGCACAATAGTCACTGGGTGCTTTCACTATCTGCAGCTTCGTGGGCCCAGCCGGCAGTACTGCTTTTATGGTTTTTTGCTATTGCAAAGTGACTTGGAGATCTATGCTGCGAGTGATTTGAGCTGGGGAAGTATTGCATGAACTCTCTGGAAACAAGTTTAAAACTTCCTTAAAGCAGCATTTCACTTCTTAAACTCTTTAAAACCCAAACCATAAGATTAAATGTTTCATGGTGTCTCAGTTTGGACGAGGAGCTGTGGTGTCCTGATTCAGGTGAGCTCATCTGATGTGAGTGATGATGTGAATTTAAAGTGAGGGCTATTCTGTGGGTACTTAAAACTTGTGTCCCACTTTCCAGAGCAGAGTTGGCTGAACTCCTCCCTGCAGCAGTGCGGAGTGAGAACGTATTCCCAGAGCACTCAGCTATGGACTGGGGTGACGTTCAACTGTCCCAGCTGCCTTCTCTTTTTTTTCTTTACTCTTCCCTGCTTCATCTTAGAGCTACTCTACATCAGGTGGGGGTCTGAGACACTGTCTAAATGGGTTTCTGGAAATGTCAGAGCTGTGGCTCATGGCT